GATTCATCAGTCTGTTTCATGCTTCTATGTCTCTGGATCTATTTTGTTTATTAGTTTATTTTTTCCATTAGATTCCACATATGAGTGAGATCATGTGATACTTGTCTTTCTCTGACTTATTTCACATTTTAGCTAAACTTTAATTTTTGAATGAAAATTGTTACACTAAATTTTTCTAGCTTTTTTTTTTGAGTAAGAACTATTTATTTGATATTGTATACAATTTACCATATCAGTTTTTAATTTACTTCCACATACATTCTAAAAGTAGCATATTGCATGGTTTGAAGAATATTCAGAGAATATTTTAGAAAAAATTTTATTCTTGGGTTCATATTTATAAAATAAATAAATGATAGCTCTTTCAGTATGGTTGATCTTTATTTAGGACTGCTTTTAAGCACATACCACTTTATCTTAATATTCTCTCTTTACTTCCTATTAAGTCTAGGTTTTGACTTATATAAGAAAATCGTCTTTAAAGTACACTATATTTGCTAAAAGGTTATAAAAATACGATGTCTTAAAATCATTAGAAGGAAAGTGATAAAGTAATTGTATTTACTGTCACTCTCATGTTAAATCTGTTATGACAACTGTTGGAACTATACAAAGTAAATTGTTGAACTTGAAATCAAGCTTACCAAAATATTTTGTTTTGATGTAAAATTGCACTAATAAATTGAGTATTCACTTACTCTTTTCCTTGGTTTAGGCAACAGTACTTCAAGTTAATTGATGAGTGTGTATCTCAGATTGTATTACATAGAGATGGGATGGATCCCGACTTCACATATCGAAAAAGACTAGATTTAGATTTAAGTCAGTTTGTTGGTGAGTATTCCTCTATTATTTAAATGGAAATATCTTATCTTGTTGTCTCTTACCCCCAGATTAGCTCTCGAGTATTTATTCTCTTAGTGAGGGCTGTAGACTTCTGAGGTTCCTAATATTCTTTCTGGGGGTTCTAATAGTTAAAACTATTTTCATCATAATATTAAGACATTATTTGTCTTTTTTACTGTTGATATTTGCCTTGGTGACACAATGATGAGTAAAATGGTAAAACTGCTAGCATTTTATGAAGCAAGGCAATGACACCAAACTGTCCCTTTTTTTCTTTCTTTTCTTTATTTATTGGGGTGATATTGGTTAACAAAATTATATAAGTTTCAGGTATACAGTTCTACAACACATTATCTGTATACTATATTGTGTCTTTACTACCTCAAGTCAAGTCTCTTTGCATCACCATTTATCCCCCTTTTATCTTCTACCTCCCTCCACTACTCCCTTTTCCTCTGGCAATCACCGTGGTGTCTGTGTCCACAAATCTTTCCTTTTTTTCTTTGCTTAATCCCTTCACACTTCTCACCCAGCCCCCAACACCTTTCCTTCTGACAGCCCTCAGTCTGTTCTCTGTATCCATGAGTCCATCTTTACTTTCTTTGTTATTTTGAATTCATATGGTACTTGTATTTCTCTGTCTGGCTTATTTCACTTAGAATAATACTCTCCAAGTCTATCCATGCTGCTGCAAAACGTAGAATTTCCTCCTTTTTTATGGCTGAGTAGTATTCCATTGTCTAAATGTACCGGCTTTTTTATCTAGTCATCTACTGATGGGCATTTAGGCTGCTTCCAAATCTTGGCTATTGTAAATAACACCGCAGTAAACATAGGGGTGCATATATTCTTTCTGATTGGAGTTTCTGGATTCTTAGGTCAAATGGCAGGTCCTTTGCCCATTTCTTAATTGGGTTCTTTGTTTTTTTGGTGTTGAGTTTTATAAATTCTGTATACATTTTGTATATCAAGCCCTTATCAGAAACATCATTGGCGAATATGTTCTCCCATTCAGTGGGTTGTCTTTTCATTTTGCTCATGGTTTCCTTTGTTGTGCAAAAATATTTTAGTTTGATGTAGTCTCATTTTTTTTTGCTTCCCTTGCATGAGGCAATGTATCAGAAAAATTATTGCTATGAGGAATGTCCTAGATTTTACTGCCTATGTTTTGTCTGCTAGGATTTTTATGGTTTTGAGTCTAACATTCTGTGATTATTTGCAGTTGACATGATACTGAATATAGACAACCCTAAAGATTCCACCAAGAAAACAACTAAAACTCATAAATGAATTCATTTAAGTAGCAGGATACAAAATAAATATCCAGAAATCAGTTGCATTTTTATATACAAATAATGAACTATGAGAAAGGGAAACTAAGAAAACCATTCCATTTACAATTGCTTCAAAAATAAAATACCTAGGAATAAATTTAACCAAGGATGTAAAAGACCTGTACTCAGAAAATTATAAGAAACTGAAGAAAGAAATTGGAGAAGATACAAATAAGTGGAAGCGTTTCCATGTTCATGGATAGGAAGAATTACATTAAAATATCCATACTACCTAAAGCAATCTGTAAATTCAACACAATTTTTATCAAGATACCAATGGAGTATTTCACAGAACTAGACCAAATATTCCAAAAATTTATATGGAACCACATAGATAGCCTCAGCAATCTTTAGGAAGAAGAACATAGGTGGAGGAATCACACTACCTGATATCAGACTATACTGTAAGGCCATCGTAATCAAAACAGCATTGTATTGGCACAAAAGCAGACATTGATCAATGGAACAGAATAGAGAGCCTGGAAATAAGCCCACTCCTTTATAGTCAATATTTGACAACACAGGCAAAAAAACATACAATGGGGTAAAGATAGTCTATTGAATAAATGGCATTGGGAAAATTGGACAGATATGTGCAAAAAAAATGAAACTAGCCACCTTCTTACACCATCACAAGAGTAAACTCAAAATGGATTAAAGATTCAAATGTTAGATTTGAAACCAAACTGGCTTTTTAGCCATTGTAGTTTTCTACCTCAGTAAAGCAAAACAAAGTAATAGATACTGTCATTTTTTACTTCAGAATCTTTGATAAAGACCTAAAAGTAATTAATTTTATTAAATATTTGCTTTGAGTACACATTGTTTTAATATTCTGGTGACAAAATGAGATGTATGCATGAAGCACCTGCTGCATCTCAGAGTACAATGAGAGCATACTTGTGTAACTGAGCTGTGAGCTGAACTGGCTCTTTTTTTATACCAAAAGGATGACTGTCATACAAACTGTGACCACTCAGACTTCAATGTTTGGTGTACACTTAAGGATGAAGTGAAGTGTGTCTATATCGTCAAGGAAAATGAGTCATAGAATTTGTTACCAATGATAAAATTCAAGCTTTCAAGTAAAATTTCAAAATGATTGAATGATTTTTGAATAGTATCTAAAAAGAAAATTTATTCCTGGACATCAGGAACATTTTTTTTCTTAATAAGTGGTTTTGACATTTAACTCTTGCTGAATATAGGACATAGAAAGGAAATATAATTTAAACACCGTTTGGCTATAGAAGTGAAACATTTTAATAGTTACAATTTATTGTGTTTATTGATATTGTTTAGAATACACTTATAGGCACTGAACAATACAAATACAGGGGAGTGTGGATGTGAGCAGATTAGAGAAGACACAAGGTTGGAGAGTCGGGGAGGCAGATGTTGGAAAGTATGGGGCACAGATAACTTCACCTATTATAGTGAAAATCAATAGATACCGTTTATGCAGTAACAGGAATCAGAAGTTTAAGTATTTACTTAGTGCTACAGTGCCAGGCAATTTAGAAAGTAAAATTACCAAAATAGGGAACAGTTTCCTCCTTTTATGGCAGGACGTTATCTATCATGTCTTAAATAGAGAAGTCAAGAAATAATGGTATGTATGTTTTGTTTAGAGTTTAGGAACTAACCACCCCAATCAATACAGAAATGTCGTTGAGAGGCTGCATTTAGGGAGTGGGATTCACTTTTAAATGCAGACGATTTGGTTCACTATTACTTGTCATTATAAGCCCTTCTGTAATGTGTGTGTTTTTTTTTTTTTTCCAGCCATGTTCATGTATTATTTTCATTAAAAAATGAAAAAGTGATACATACATTATGGGAAAAATGAAAAAGTGATAAATACATTATGGGAAATCCATATAAATCACTTCACCTGCATAGGATGCCATCATGTGGATATATATTATAGCCTTTTTAATTAATCTATTATTGATGGGTATTTATTTTTAGTTTTTTGTAGCATAAACTATCTCCCCCTCCATATATATACATATATACATATATGTGTGTGTGTGTGTGTATACAGACTTCACCTGAGGATATGATTTGCTGATTTTAGAGAGTGGAGAAAGGGAAGAGGGAGGGAGGGAGGGAGGAGAGAAATATCGTTTGGTTGCCTCCCGTACTCTCCCCCACCGGGGATTGAACTGGCAGCCTTTTGGTGCATAGGACTATGCTCCAACCAACTGAACCACAGCAGCCAGGGCCTAACATAAACAATATTTTAATGAATATTCCTCCTCAAAGATAAAATGCTAGAAATAGATTGCTGGGTGAAAGAAAATTCATATTTTAAATTTTAGTATATACTGCCCAGTTATTCATTAGTCAAGTTTCTAATTTATACTTCTATTGTGTTGGCAAGTTGGTTTCTCTATGCCACCTCTCTGTTTGGAATTATGGATCATTTAATCTTTGCTATTTCTCATTAAAAATTTTATATTTTCATATTAGGGAAAATAAAATATTTGTTCATATGTTTTAGCATTTTTAGTTTTGTTATTCTTAACTTTCTGGTCGTTACTGTGGCCCATTTTCCTATTTTGTGTTGGATATCATCTTCTCTTCGTCCTTCAAAATATTTATGAACTGATGATAGAAACCTTTGAATATTGTGTATTATAGTTGAACTTCCTCCTCCTTTTGCCTAATAGAAGTTTAAAATTGAGGTAGGGTTTGTCTTTCCCTTTATGTTTTATGGCCTTCTTATTATGCTTAGAAAATTCTTCTTCATTCCAACATTGTAATATGTTTCTCCATTATGCTTATTTTATTACTGGCAGTGTTCTAAATCTTTTCGATGATTTTTTTTCTTTCTAAACGTTTACAGTCATAATGAGTACTGCTATGTAAAATTTCCTGTCTTTGCAATTTTAGATATTTGCATGGATCAGGTGAAAGTAGAAGAGTCTGAAGAGAAAGCATCAGAATTTTACAAGAAAGTAAGTAACTTTGACAAACTTTGCAAGACTGTTTGGGGAACCACCGTAGGTATGCTTCTGCCTTACAGACTTTGCTTGTTATTCCCACTTTCTTCTTTACCGCCTTCAGGTATTTGCACAAATGTCATCGTCCAAGGAGGCTGTAATTAGACAATTACGTTTAAAAGTTTTAGCTCCTCACACCCAACCCTGACCCTCCCTATTTTTCTTTTATTGTTTTTCTTTTGTTGTATTTATCAGCTTACATGTTACATAATTTATTATGTATTTATATGTGTACATGTGAATGTGTTGTCTCAGTTTCTCTAGAGTAAATCTGATGTAGGATTTTTTGTTTGCTTTGTTCACTATCCCAGCTCCTAGAATGATTCCTGGCCTAAGAATTAAAAAAATATTTTTGAATGACTGATTGAACAAAATGTATAGTCAGAATGTTAAAATTGGTGTATTAAGAAATCATATTATTTAGGCAATTAGGATTAAAATTATATCTAAAAATTTTAGAAGTAACTTCTGTGCTGTTGACCCCTCACCCTGCCAATTTTATGTTCTTGCTGCTTGTTTTGATTAAAGATGCTTCATTTTAGCCTGGCTGGGTGTGGCTCAGCGGATGAGCGTCGACTTAGGATCCTAGGCGATCAGGGTTGGGTTCCCGGTCAGGGCACATGCCCGGGTTGCGGGCTGCAGCCGATCAGTGACTCTCTAATCATTGATGTTTCTATCTCTTTTTCTCTCCCTTTCCTTTCCTCTCTCTGAAATCAATAAAGATATATTTAAAAAAAAAAAAAAAAGTTGCTTCATTTTAGATCAGGTTGAACCATATAACATTATCAATTTCACAGGTCAAAAGTATCAGATATTGCCAGTTTCATTTGGTTCAGCCTAGTAGCATTGCTAACCATCCAGACATCTATTCCTCATTTTTCTTTAAGATGGTGTTTTGTACTTTTCTCTCTACTTAGCACCTACCTATTAGACTTTCTGTCTTTCTCTCTTTTTTGGGGAGATGGTGTGGTTGTTTTCTTCACATTTTAGGTAGTTGCTCTGATTTGAATTCATAGGATTGGTTTCTTACATCAGAGAGGTAATAATAATTACTACGACTACCACCTTGATGAACATATATTAAATGAACATTTACCGTGTGTTAAGCACCATGACAAACAATCTACACTTTTATTGTATTTCGCCCTGAATGAATCTTGAGAAAACTATATTTTTATAAACTTTTAAGATAAAACATAACTGCAAATGGTAGGCACTTTTTCTTAAGTTAGCCTAAGTTACAAAAACTTTGTAAATCTCCTAAGATATCCTAAGGCTTACCACACAGTTACTAAGAGGATATTATATCCAGGCCTATTGTTTCAGGCTATGATTATAGCTGTGAATATGATACAATAGGGAAACAATGGATCACTTAAATGAAGTGTCATAAGTGATATAGTTGATAGATGTCTGCTGTTGAGTGACCCCTCACCCTGCCAATTTTATATTCTAAGCTCAGTTAGAATATTTACTCTTCATGGGAAAGTAGTAGGAAACTTTCACGTATTTGATATAGATGTATCCCAGATAGTATAAATTTGCTTTTTAATAATTTTTAGGTATATAGTTTATAAGAGTGATGTTAAACATGATAACTTTCTTAATTCATTGTTTTAAAACTAAGCTTTAAATGTAAATAGAAGAAAAACCTTGTCCAAGGTTAGTTGTCTCCTTTTAGTTAGAAGTTATGTGTCTTAGGTATATTCAGAAAATATTGTTTGCTCCATAAAAGATTTCTACTGCCATACCATTTTGTATATATCAGCAAGAACTTCTCTCTGATAGCTTTATAAGGACACATGTAAATACTTTGCTTTAGGCAGGAAGCTATCATAGTTGTTAGACACATCCTTTATTTTGGTGCATAAATTTGAAAAATGAAGACCAGAAATGTCAGAAAGTACGTAGGAAATATTGAATTATCAACCTTCTTGTACAGATGCACTAATACATTTACCCTAGGGAATGAAATTAAGCAGAGCCTCAACCTTAACTGTGTTTCTTGACATTTTGTGTGTATAATATTGTAAGCGTAATACTGCTCTAGTAACTCTTTTTGGAGAAGGCTATCATCAGTTTTTTTAAAGGACGTCTTTAATAGAGACTCATTTTATCCCCAAGGCTACTGTGATTGGACTATAGATACTATAAAAATGCTAAAGCGAAGTTTATATTTTGTTTGATCCTCTTATAGGTTAGGATCTAGATATTTTCTCTTTAGTAAATAATACAGACACTTTCAGTATGGCCATGTTAACTTATTAAACTCTTCGTGTGTACTAATTATGGCTGGCTGTCTTGATAGTCCTGTCCTTGTTCCCCTGGGAAATCCTTTATTCTTTTGAATCTCATTCTAATGCCTATGAAATATGATACTATACATATTTATATTGTAAAAAAGATGTTTTCATTCTTACTCTCAAGAATTTAATTTTTTAAATTTCTTGCTACACAGCAGTAAACATTGAGCAGTCATCAAAAGGAGACTACAGAAAATGACTTCTCAGAGGTTTTGATGCTGGGAGATTGGAGGGCTTTGATGTATGATCAGGACTTAGTTATTCAACATACAAAGGAAGAATGGATAGGAATTGGCTCATCAGTTCACTCAACAAAGATATATTGAGTTTAATTATGGATGGAAAGCTTTGGCAAGGTGATGAGTAAAATAGAAATGATTTTCACTGTTAATGAGTTTCTGGCTTGGTGAGTGTTGCTGAGGTATATGATACTACATTTTTATATTTTTATATTACAGTGTGATAATTGCTATGGTAGGAAAACCCTATGTGGTGTGTAAGCTTATAGGAAGTGTTCCTCACCTAGTCTTGGGTGAGAAAAGAGTCCAAAACGATGGCAACATTAAAGGTTTGGCTTGAAGACTAAGAACCCATAAAGAATTGGTAGGAGCAGAAGAGTGTGTTGTAATAGCACCTAAGGGGAAGACAGGTTGACTGTGGAGACAGATGTGTTTGTAAGTATTTATGCTTTAGAGCAGGGATGATGATATTTTATAATCTATATTGTTCGACATGGCAGCTGTCAATCAGGTGTGCCTATTGTGCCCTTATAAAATGGCTAGTGTGACTGAGGACCTGAAAATTTAACTTTATTTGGTTTTAGTTAGATTTACATTTACACCGGTGGCTAGTGGCTTCCCTTTAGCACAGCTCTAGAGAAGTCAAGTAAGGTGAGGCTGGGAGAAGTCTGGGTTGATTTGAAATGTGGTAAGCAGTGGTTTTTAGAGTGAAAGAATGATAACTAAGTTGTAGTGGATAATGAAGTGAATGAAGGTCAACAGGTCAGAAAAGTGAGTAGGGAGTAGGAACACTCTTTAAAGAAGTTGGCTTTAAAGCAAAAATAAGATTACAGTTAGGTGACATGGGGTAAGTCAAAGAACAGAAGGATAGAGAAGTTCACAGTGCAACAAAGGCATGAGGACAGTTGACTTAGCCAGTTCCTGGGGAGTCCGTGGGGGATAAGAGGGTTATCCTCTGAGATCCAATCATGCTTTGGTTTGGACATTAGGTTACTAGGTTAAGATTAGTAACTTTTTTTTTCCAGTCCTCACCCAAGGATATGTTTTTCATTGATTCTAGAGAGAGGGAGGAAGTGGGGAGAGAGAGAAAAAAAAACATCAATCGGTTGTGTTCTGTACAAACCCTGACTGGGGTTCAAACCCACAACCTGGGTATGTGTCCTGACCAGGAATAGAACCCCAGATGCTTCGGTGCATAGGATGATGCGAGGGGTTTGGAGTAGCCTTAGTAGTAGGAAAGGTAAAAGGTACTTGGATTTTTTTTCTANTCTAACCAGTTGAGCCACACCAGCCAGGGCAAGATTAGTATCTTTTTAAAATTGTTAATGGTAGGAGGGGTTTGGAGTAGCCTTAGTAGTAGGAAAGGTAAAAGGTACTTGGATTTTTTTTCTAGTACTTTCTGTTATCAAGATTTAGAGTAAGAGGATCATGAGTCTGAGATTTACCTTTCTAGCCTGTAATAAGAATTGTAATAATATTTCTCATTTCATAGTTGTTTTTGAGATAAAATGCAAAAATGCTTATTTTAACTGTAAAACATGGGGGAGACAATATGTATATGGTGACAGGGGGAATATGGGACATTCTGAAACTTTTACCTAATTTTGTGGTGAACCTAAAACTGCTCTGAAAATAAAGTCTATTAAAGAGCTGTAAAGCATTATTTAAAATTAATTGTTGCCCGGCCGGGCGTGGCTCAGTGGTTGAGCATTGACCTAGGATCCAGGAGATCGCGGTTCGATTCTGGGTCAGGGCACATGCCCGTGTTGCGGGCTCGATCCCCAGCAGGGGGCGTGCAGGAGGCAGCCGATCAATGACTCTTCTCTCATCATTGATGTTTCTCTCTCTCTCTCTCTCTCCCCCTCTCCCTCTCTCCCTCTCCCTTCCTCTCTCTGAAATCAATAAAGATATATTTTAAAAAAATTTAATTGTTTAAATTGTGGTTTCATCTAAATAACTGACTTTAAAGACAGAGTCTGGCTTTCAGTCTCACATCTTTTACTTACTAGCTGTCTGATGAGAGACTAGTAACTGGCTCTTTGTGTTAAGGGCTGAGTAAGAGTCATACAGCCCTTTGTTAACTGTTGAGTTCCATATTGTTGGTATTTTCCTTATTGAGGTTTGATGTATTTTAAAGTTTCAGGCTACATTTGTGAACTAGTTGCATTATTTTTACCTGATTGATTTTCCCCCCCCTATTTTTTTAAAGAGAGTCAAATACTTGTTTCTGCTTACGAGACTACACTCTTTTTAAATTCACCTCTGTTAGGAGAGGTTTTCAGTTATAATGATAGTAAGATGGGAACTTGTGATGAGTGGCTATATAAATTTAAAAACTCATTTGGTTCACCAAATTTTACCCTTTACCTTCCTCCCACTAGGGACTTGGAAAGATTAATTTCCTTAATCTCCCAAAGATTTATCTCCAACAGATTAATGATAAATAAAGCAGACTTTATTCTCTTAAATTGTTGAATGTTAGAGCCTACATCAGGGTCCTTAAATCTCCTGATGTTGTAAGAAAAAACGAAGTAATTGGTACATTTATATAATAGTTATTTATTAATAAAAAATAATAAAATGGAATTCTTTTAAATCATACTGATAAACTTCAGGTAAATTTCAAGTATACATTTTTGTAGGTAGGGGTCAGGGAACTCAGTACAATGCTTTGCTCTCTATTATTTTACACAAAGTCGCTGTGATATTTCGGGACTTTTAAGAAAAATGCCAGGGTTGCGGATAACTGTGGGCCAGTCTCCTCTGCTGAGAGAGGAAGGTCATAGGTCCGTCTTTGGCTTTGTCTGCTCCCTTGCAAATGATTTTGGTGGGACTTTGAGAAAGGCTGTGGGTGACTTCACAAAAATCTACCATTCCTTTCATAAAAGTTTATGTTCTGCTGCAGATGATTAGAGTCATATTTCTCTGTAAGTAGCGCTTTTCATTTCTATGTCTCTTTCTCTTATTATTTTTTTTCTTTTCAGTTTGAGAAAGAGTTTACTGACCACCAGGAAACTCAAGCTCAATTGCAGAAAAAAGAGGCAAAGATTAATGAGCTTCAAGCAGAGTTACAAGCTTTTAAATCTCAGGTAAAATACCACCTATCCGGAGTGAATTTGAGTATTGAAAGCTCATCAGGGGAGCAAAGGCCATGCCATATCTTCATAGTATCAAAATGTTTAAACTTTAATTTCACTTGCATGTTTTCATAGTATTATTCATATGTATGTCTATTCTGCTATGTTTTGTTTTTTTTTTAAAACTTACTTTGCCACTTTTTTTCAGCCTGCATTTTTAAGAATGTCTGTAAATTTTTACTCACCAATCTGCTTCCTTATGTTTCGTTTGGGTTTTGTTCGTAATGTCACGTTTCCTAAGCAATTAAGCATGAAGGGTAAGAAAGTCTTTTCATCTTGGATTTGTCATTCATCACTGATCTTTATCCTACTACAGGAAATTATTGCTCAAGTTATTTGTTTTTCAAAACCTTCAGCCTATGGTTACCTTGCAATGAAAGATAACCTCTAGCTGAATGAGAACATTTTCTGATAATTTTTCAATTTCCAAAAGTAAACAGATTTAAAACATGACAAAAAATAAAAAGAGAGCAAATCTGGATTATGAAGCAGATAGCTCACACACACCCTCTACACATAAAACATTTTATATAGCAAGAAATACATCATCTACCTATTTTAAATGGATGAAGGTAGGGAGGTAGAATATTCATAGATAAATTTCTTTTTGTAGATTTATATATAGGATGATGAGCAATTATTATCATTTTCCTTTTATCCTAACTTATGGTTTGTTGAAATAGTCTCAGATATATTTTGTATATTGGTATACTACTTCCTATATTATTGGCAAATTTTTTTTTTTTTTTTTTTTAAATATTAGTGGATGGTTTTGTTACAGAGGCTGCCTGAAGATTCCCCGAGGGAGAGCTGTCTCTTAGTTGGTCGGAGTGTCATCTTGTATACCATAAGGTTTCGGGTTTGACTCCAGTCAGGGCGTGTATGGGAGGCAGGCATCTGATTGATGTTTCTCTCTCAGAACCATGTTCCTCTCCGCCCCTTCCTCTCTCTCTCAAAATCAGTCAGCATATCCTTGGGTGAGGATTAAAAAAAATTAAAAGCTGCTATCTACAAATAAATTATTCTCAATTATCTTTTTTTCTTTAGTGCACAAAAAGAAAGGACAACAGTTCATTGAACTTTCTGTTGTTTCCTGGGTGGCTCCTTGTCTCTCATATTAAAAGGAACATTTGATTGTGTTTTATATGTCAGGTAGAGTTATAGACAATGGCTTAAATATTTATGACTAGTTTTTCCTGGTCTGGGCTAATATAAATTTAAAGACTTTCTTTCCTTTTCATTTTCTCCCAGTTGAAGGATTACTTATAAATGTACTCTAAATTTAGAAAATTCCAGTTTATAAAAAACATATTCACCATCTTTGCATATGTTATTGCTGCATGTGCTTTCATATAAAATGGGAATAAATTTGCATTTTGAAACAGATTAAATCCTATGTCGTATAAAATTTTGGGCAATGATGACACCTGAAATTAGGGACTTAACGTTGGCTACGATATTCACTTTTGAAGAACAATTGACTAATTCTTTCTTTGGATTAGTGTGTGTTTCTCATGAAATTGATGCATTTTTGTCTTAAGATACTTCACTTTGATAAAAGCTATGCTGATTATGAAGCTTTTGAATAAAATATGTTCTAGTATTTTTATTTCATTCATTTAGTCACCGAACAACCAAGCATTTTTAGATATTGGAGATATAATGGTGAGAAAGATAATCACAGTGTCTGGCCTCATGAACAAAATATTCAAGTCAATCATACTATCAAATGAGCTAGTCTAGAGCAGAAATTCAACCATATCTTTGTTTTAAGATGTTAATAGTTAACTACAAGGTGTATATTGAATGCCAGTATAGTATACATACATTAACATTCAAAGGGCAGTAAGTACTATCCAATATCCCAACAGCCCAGTGTAACACTAAAGTGTTTCTTTATAGTTCCTCTTCTGATAAGGCATATTCTTTGATTTGTGGTTTTAATTTTTATACACTTTTTCTTTGTGCTGATCTCATATGTCAGTTTCAGTCTTTTGTACATGATCTCTGTTATAACTGTGCCATAAAACTTTTTAAATGATTTATTAACATTTATTAAACTTGTACCATTTGCAAGGTGGTTTGTATGTATGTATATGTGTGGCTCAGGATTGAAGTTAGTAATTTTAGGAAAATAATATCACAAAAAATTATTTATGAACCCAGATCTTCTTTATGACAATCAAAATGTGTCTATTAAATTCTTACCATGCCATGGAAACATAAGGACAAAAGTGACCAGTGGACATGTTTGTGTTTTTTTCACTCCTCATTTTATCTTGCTTCTCTGTGACATTTGATGCTATAGAATAGCCTTTTTTGGGGGTTGGTGGTCACTCTCTTCACTTTTGATTCATGACCCTGTGCTTGACTCTTCTTGTCTTTAATTCATTTATCCTGCACATATTTCTTCAATGGCTGTCATTGCCAGTCACAACATTAGATGCTGGGGAAAGAGTAGTTATACAGGCATAGTAACTTGCCTTGTAGACTTATAATCTATCAGAGAAATAAATGCTAATGATTCCTTAAATAGTTATGAAACATGTTTTTGATAACAGCTATCAAGGAGAAGTAGAGGGTGCTGTCAGTGTGAAATGAGTGGTGAGGTAAGACTTTTCTGAGGAAGGGATATGGTTGCTAAGCTTGAAAGTAGGAGATGGCCAGGCAAAGAGGATGTTCCAGGTGGAGGGAGTAATGTATGCTAGGGCCCTGAAATTGAAATGCGGCTGGCATATATGCAGAATTGTATATGAAGGCCACTTGAGCTCTTCCAGATGATGGCATGTCTTTGGAGGTCTTACTAAAGATTTTGTATTTTTTTTCCTCAAGGGCAAAGACATGTGGCAATACTAGTTAAGTCTTTCTGGATTTTTTTTTCTTATTTAAACACTAGTGTTGTATATAATTCTGTACATAGAAATTTTCCCATGTTACATACTCTGTAGAGCTCTAGGTGAACTTTTCTACTTCCATGGCTTCAACCATCAAGAAACTGCTGATTTGCAAATATTTAGATCCATATACCCATTTCCCTCCTGGACATCTCTACCTAGATGGTCATTACTACCTGAATATGGGGAATAACATTTCTTTCAATTACACTGTTCCGAAAACAAAAGCTATAATTACATTCTTACACTGGGAATAAACTTCTCTGGAATTTTTAGGTTAAACCACATGAAATTACTGATAGTCACTTATTTTTGTTTCAAAATAATACATTATTATTTTAATCCTCACCTGAGGACATGCTTCGGAAGAGAGAGAGAGAAAGAGAAAGAGAAAAAGGGAAAGAAAGAAAAACATCCATGTAAGAGAGAAACTTTGATCAGTTGCCTTCTGTACATGTCCCTACCAGAGATCAAACCCGCAACCCAGGCATGTGCCCTGACTGGGAATTGAACTGGCAACCCTTCATTGCACAAGAGGAAGCTCAATCAACTGAGATACTCTGGCCAGGCAATAATACATTATTATTTTTTTTAATGTATCTTTATTGTTGAAAGTATTACAGATGTTCCTCCTCTTTCCCCCCATTGATCCCCTCCTTCCTGCATCCACCCCACATCCAACCCACCGCCAGGCCTTCCCCATACTATTGTCAGTATCCAGGGGGTTATGCATTTAGTGTACTATTTTTAAGGAAGTGTACTTTTACAGGTTCTGTAGAGTGTTCTTAGTCATGTTCCTTATTTTATTTTCTCTCTAGTTTGGTGCCTTGCCAGCTGATACTTCTTTGCCCCAGTCAAAAGAAAATGGAATTGGGCACCCGGCACTGCTTCCTCCANGAATTCTCAGTGGAGGAAACCCTCTTCCACCTACCCTGCCATTTGGGTTAAAACCAAAGAAAGAATTTAAACCTGAAATCAGCATGAGAAGATTGAACTGGTTAAAGGTAAATAAATAAATAAATAAATAAATAAATAAATAAAGAAAGAAAGAAAGAAAGAAAGAAAAAGAAATGGAAAAAAAAACCTGTTACCTAAATTACAATTTAGTTTTGTTTTTACTCACATATAATTTCTAGTAGGAACCCTGTTAAAAGTGATTTTAAATAAACAGCCTTTGTTTCTTGTTTTGCTTTGCTTTTTTAGTGTTGAGATAAAGTCCTTTGCTCTTGACTATGGATTTCTGGTTTATAAATTTGGTGGGAGTTGATGTTAGTTGGTCACATAATCTTGGGAAATGCTGGGTAATGTATCCTGCACTTGAAGAATCATAGTGCACATGAGCATTATTAAAGACTCTGAGAAATGTAATTGAGAAGAAACAAACTTCATTTCATTCAGCTTTAGTCCCCCCAACTTTTTCTCTAATAAAAGCTTAACTTCCTAAACAGCTCATATTTCACTGAACACTGTTTGGAGAAAAATCTTACGGGGATTACTTCATAAACATTGGCTGGCAGCTATGGGACGCTGGGTCTGAATGTAATGATTGGGCTGGGACAGATGAAACACCCAACTATTTATGAATCAGCCTTCTCTCTGATTGCAGATCAGACCTCATGAAATGACTGAAAACTGTTTCTGGATAAAAGCAAATGAAAATAAGTATGAAAATGTGGATTTGCTTTGTAAGCTTGAGAATACATTTTGTTGCCAACAAAAAGGTAAGTTTATTATCTTGATTATTTATTTTAATATTTTAACACTGCCACTTTTTATATATTAACTACCAGAAAGCATTATTTTAAGAGTGTTATATATATTTTTATTATATTAATAGGTAAATGATTTAATAAATGTTTAAAAAGAAAATTTTATTAGAGTATCAAATGAGCAATTTTTAACATGCAAATGATTAATACAAAACTTAAATTTTCTATATGATAGCTGTTTTGAAGATGTTCTAAATTAGACTTTCATAAAGGAGGGTATTTTCAGAGAGACTTTTGGCATGAGAATTCTTTGGTCATGAGGAATAGTAAAAACAAAACCAAAATGTGAGCCTTCTTCTAGTCAGATTTTAATATTTATCATTACAGTGACTGTCACATAATTTAATTAGTATGAGTCACATGAAAAAGAAATACCAATTTTTAAAGAATGTCTTGAAAGTTAATGTGAAACAGAAGTGTATGAGTAGTCTATAAGATCTTTTCATGAAAAGTAATGGAATTTTTCAAATTGTTTTGTTATATCTTTTGTTCAGTGTGATTTAAAAACAACAGCAATTATATTTAGATATCATTCTTGCCTGAAAATTGAATTTATTTTATCCAGTCTCATGGGCCAACACCACTTGTTTCAGAGCTGATACCCAGTTATACTGTTAAGTTAATTTTTAAGTATTATATAACACCTATTAGGTCTTAGATCAGTAATTACCTTTAATTTTCAAAAAGAAACCCATAGACATATGTTACTTATATCTCTGGGCTCATTGAGCCCAGAGAGAGCTGGAGTGGAACGATTGTACTGAATGGAGATGGGAAGGCTTGATTTCTTGAAATGCCTACTGTGTACGAGGCACCGTGCTAGATGTTTTCTATTTCTGTTTTAACTTGATCATCACAGCAACAAGGGATGTTGGCTGATAAAAAAAAATAACTTGCATTCCTTTGAAATGCTTTTAAAAGTATAAATGTAAATTAAAAACTCTTTTAAAAAAATAATTGTTAGATACACTAAAAGGTGTAAATTAAGGTAGCTTTCTTAAATGTGTGGTAAATCCAAAGTCTTTAGCAGATGTTTTTGAGCACCGTTGATGTTGACCAAAATAGTAAAAATGATACATTTTGATCTTTGAAATCGGAGAATTTTTAGCAAGCTTATCCTAGGAAATCTTGTGAAGTAAGCAGATCTTAATTTACCTTTTGATTATGGAGAATCAAATTTTCTTTGAATAACATTAGTGTACTCTTTAGGCAATCAAGGAAAATATATGGCAGTTAAAATGTGTATTTACATGTAAAACACTTCAGGATTTCAGATTTCATAATCTGGAATTGATTAGTTTTCCCTTTGCTATCCTAGTAGGTGCAAATGCAGGTACCTAAAAGCTATTTAAGTAATACTGCCATCCAGCTACTCTCTTTTTCCCCCATCTTTCTTTTGATTACTTTCTTAATTAATGAGGCTCAAAAGGGAAACTTGTTAGCATGTCTTTAATTTAGCTGTAGTGTTAGCCCTAAATGAAATAATTGGACCTTTAAAAAATTCTTAAGTCATCTAACTTTAGCCTTGAGATTCAAGGTTGGAAAAAAAACCAATGTATTTGCTCTGTCTGACACTAGTTGTAAAGGTTAAGGTGAGGCAGTGATGAGCATTTTCTGGATATAGGTACTTGCACTCCTCTCTGCCTTTGTACATGCTGTCCCCTCTGCCCTGTATCTCTCTTTCATTTGACTTAGAGGCTGGCAGAGGCCTGTGACTCTATTTTCTCACTTTAAATGCTATCTTCTCTTTTCTGAGACTATGGATGGTATTTCCATGGTGAACAGAAAAGATGGGGAAGTCCAGGGTTGTAATCCTGGGCAGTGCTAACATTTCACAATGCCAACAGGAGATGAGCTGCGAAGGTCACTATTTTTTGGTCTGGATTTTAAAGAATAGTTTCTAGTAAGCATTATTTGAGGAGCCTGAATTGAGAGTGCTTAATTTAGGAATGACTTTAGTTAATTATTTTTTGGAAAAGGTGATTTATTGCTGCTTTAAGAAAAGCAGGATATCGTGTAGATATTTCCTAGCAAGATCATAAGGGAAGGCAGGAGAAAGGTGTCTGGAAAGCAAGGACTGGTGGAGTGGACAGGTAGGTGGCTTATTTTGGTCTTCATTCATGGCTTGGGCACTGAGGCATTAGGTGCAAATGCTAACCAGTCCCCCATGTATCCAAAGGCTACTTTGTTTGAATCAATTTTGTAATTTCTGCAGAACTCAAAATTAAAGCTAGACAAGGTAGAAATAGAGTTGCTCTCTATTCCGTAGAAGCATTGGCTACTGGTTGATTTTCATCATAGGTTTGCTTCACAACTTGGTAGGGAAGGACAGAAGATTCGGATTACCAATGACTAGTGGGTTTTTACAGCTATTGGTGCATCTGTTTTATTTCGCAGTAACTCTTTTGACCAAGATTCGGGGCATTTGTGACAACATGGATGGACCTCGAAGGGCATTATGCTAAATGAAATAATGTTATCTCTCTTATACGCGGAGTCTAAAAATACAAACAAACCGATCTTACGGATTGGGATTGGCAGTGGGGTGGGGAGTTGGTGGGCAAAGGGGGTATACATTTATTTTGTTTAAAAAAGAAGGCAGCCCTGGCCAGGTGGCTCGGTTGGAGCATTGTCATGTGCACCAAAAGGTTGCTGGTTCGATCCCTGGTCGGGGTGCATACGGAAGGCAGTCAGTCAATGTTTCTCTCTCTCCCCCCCTTCCTCTCTCTCTTAAAATCAATAAAAACATATTCTCAGTGAGGATTAAAAAGAAGAACCAAGACAGTTTCTCTGATTACAAAGGTGGATGTTCCTTCTTAGGCATTTATATATATATTGATTTCAGAGAGAGGAAGGGAGAGGGAGGTGGAGAGATAGAAGCATCAATGATGAGAGTCATTGATTGGCTGCCTCCTGCACGCCCCATACTGGAGATGGAGCCTGCAACTCAGGCATGTGCCCTGACCTGGAATCAAACCGTAACCTCTTGGTTGATAGGTTGATGCTCAACCACTGAGTCACGCCGGCTGGGCCTTCCCAAGCATTTAAAATGGTAGATGCCAATCCCTTGTACTTCCTTAGCGTTTCAAATAGGTAGAAAGAAAAAAGGAACTGACTCAGTCATTTAAAGAGAATCTTGAAATTTTCTCTCACATAGTATTTATTTTTTGTTACAAAGTGGGGGTTTTTTCCTTACAGAAGGCACTGCTTCAGGTTTCTGGGACTTTTAGGTTAAAGTGATTGGGCTTTAAAGCTCTCATACCTTGGGAGTTGGAAAAGGAAGAAGGACTATTAATATCTGTAGATCACCTGTGGTGTGCCAGTCCCTGAGCTGGGTCATTCTCCTGTTACCTTGATAATCTTTATCACATCTCTGCTGAGGCTTTTCTCCTGCAAAACTGGCCTGACTCCCCAGAATAACACCCTGCCTCACCTACTCATAGATAGTGCAAGGTATTCTTGGTAAGAGCTTTCCTCTTAACTCATGTTATTCTTCATTATATCTCTTTCTTCAGTTTGATTTTACTTATTTTGTGTTTTAGATGACTCTCCCTGTGACATAAATAACATTGCTTTAATGAGAAAGTGCCTTGTGCCATATCTTAAAAAGTACAGGAACCCCTCTCTAAGCCTTTTCCTGTGAAATCAGCATTCGTTCCTGATTCAGTTGAAATTTTTTTTTTTTTTAATAACTTGTTTTGCTATTTAAGTATCTCACTTTGGTTTCTTTGTGTCTCCCAGTTCTAAATTTTTGAAATACATCTTAGCTTTCCATATTTTAAATTCTTCTGAAAATAACCTGTAGGTATTTTTCCTGATAATGTTTCTTTTTCTCATTTTTTCCTCTCAGTTGTCCGCCCCACTTTTTATCTCTCCTGTATTTGGCTACCACTATTCAAGTTCACAAATATTTATTGGGTATCCATTGTATGTCTGGCCTTGTGTTTAACACTGGGGACACCATTACTAGAAAGGCAGACATGTGCCCCTTCTCATGTTGCTTTTACAGTCTCAGTGAGACTCAGTCAAGTTCTTAGTTGAAACATAAGAAAGAAGAGTGGAACAATGAATGCTGATTTTGATTTAGAAAACAATGACTTATTTTATGGTCTTTGGCTTCTGTTAAGAATTAACAAGATTATAAAAGAACATGGTAATATCTCTTCAATATTTAATCACAATATTCATGTATTGAACATTTGGTGTCATCAAAATGATGCTAATGACCTGTGTATTTTTTACCAGATTGGTAGCATCTGTTGGTTAATTTTTACAGGCTGTTGGAAAATGGATTAAAGTATACTAACAGGTTATTGGTGTTGGATTTATCAACTAAAATTAATATTAATTACTTTCATTATTCACAAACCGTTAACTTAATAGGGATTAAAGGGCTTTCTGAAAGTATATGAATAGTCTAATTCAGTTAGACTGATTTATTATGAAAATGTGATTCCACAATTGTTAGCTTCCTGAAGTAATCACATTTTATAACAGGTGCATCATATTTGCCAGATAGGGCCAATAAACTGGTTTATAAATATTTCTCAACTGAACAGTTGTGGCATATGGAAACAGTTAATGGATTATGCACTTAAAAACAAATCAAGCTGAGATTTCTAACATCATAGTTTAGTGGACAAAGAATTGGGGTACGGAGTGAATAAACTATGGATTATCCAAGGGACTTGGCTGTGTTCAGGATGTTGCTTTTTTATTAGAAACACAATTTATTCCTCTGTGTGAACAAAAGAGTATAAAAAATACTAAATACCTCGCAAGCCTACATTCAGATGGACAGTATAATTTCTAACAGGGAGCTATGTTTCTTGGGAATGCATGCTAATAAAGAGATGATGCCAAAATGAATGTAACATCATAAACATCTTAAAGATTTCTGAAAAGACATTTGACAAACACTAATTTGGAAAGATTGGGGAGGAACTTAGTGG